CAAAAAATCAACTCGATTCTGAAGCAGGAAAAGAACTAGCTGATGCAATTTGCATAAACTCTACTTTAACTACTTTGGATATTAGCTTCAATAATATTGGTCGTGAAGGTGGATTAGCTTTTGCGGAGGCTCTTTGCGTAAACTCTACTCTTACTTGTTTAGATCTTTCATATAATAAACTTGATTTGGATGTCGGGAAAGCTTTAGCTGAGGCTCTCTGTAAAAACAACACTTTAACTTCCTTAAGTTTTTATGGAAATTGCGACATGAGCACATTAAGAGATGTCTTTCATACAAACACTATACTAAGAGAATTTGATTATTCGGAAGAGTTAGAAGCTACTCAACATACAATACCGGAATTGGATGAGCTGCAAGCAGCCTTGGATCGCTTGGATCGCTTGAATCGCTTGTATCGCTTGAATCGCTTGTATCGCTTGAATCAGACACTGAGTTTGTACATTTCATGTCTTTTAGGAATCTTACCTGCATTGCTCTCTGTTTTCCTTTTAAACCGGTACTTTGGCATATGAATGAATCTAATTAATATTTTTGCTAAAATGATTTATTAAATCATTTGAAATAATGAATTTGCATTCTCACCTTTGTTGTTTTTTGTTTCCTCTTTTTAAATCGGTTATTTCCATATGAAGGAATCTAATAAATATTATGCTCTAAAATGATTTATTAAATCACTTGAAATAATTAATTTTGATTACTTAAGGAGTTTATATATAAAGCTAATATTTGTTTTTTAAATTGATATGCCTTCTGATCGAATACTAAAATATCTCACAGTAATAAATTGCCTTAATGAAAAAAACATAATATTAAATGCTAATCTACTACCTCTTGACCATACCTACATTACAATCAAACCCGCTTAAAACTAAACTACATATACTATTGTATCTTTTCAGACTGTACCAAATTATGTCAATAGATGTAATATTATTTGCTCTTAACAAAATGGATGAAGAAAGGGATTTAAATTATTGGTATACAAAATTATGTTGGTTTAGAAAAGTTTTATTAGAATTAAATGAAACAGAACATATTTATTTCGGAATTGAAACAGAACATCTTTATTTGACAACTAAGCGTAGCATTTTACCTTATGTCGCTCCAGAAATCTTGAGAGGAAAACCAAAAATACAAACTCAATCCACAAACATCTATAGGTTTGGTGTAATTATGATCGAGGTATCATCAGGAACACGAGCATTTGACGGATATGACTTTGTTTCTTTTGAGCATAAATGTGAAATTCTTGATGAGGATTAAGACCTGAGTGTGCACAAATATTACGTAGAATTGGTGGATGCTAATCCCAATAAACGGCCTACTATAAAAGATATTCATGATAAAATTAATAATTTGATAAATTCAAATGAAAATAAACAACCATTTGGCACATTTGAGAAACAACTGTTTGAGATATTTGGTTATATATTAACGGGTTTCGATTTAACATTAATCAATTGACCAATTTCAAAATTATAGAAAAAGATGGATTCAGCACTGTATATAAAGCGGATTGGTTGTATTATTATGATAATGACAATCACTATAGAGATTATGATGAATTACCAGATTATGATAACAAAGATTTAGTCAAAATTTTTAAATCACCTAAGTTTGTTACTCTCAAGATTATAACTCCAGAAGAATTTGAAAATCACATGAAATTAAGTAAGAACTATGCAATGTTTGATGTATATGGATTGATTCTGAAACCAGAAACGGATGAATAAATGAAATTATTTTGTTATGCTGAAAATGGATGTTTTCATAATTACTTAAGAAATTACTTAGAAAATTATCAAGGTTTAGATGGAAAAGATGCTTTTAGATATCTTGATTAATTTAAACAAATTTTAAATGTGGAATTGACTCATTCAGATTTTCATAGTGGAAATATTTTACAAAATGATAGCAGTGATGGTAACAAAGTATCATCTTATGTCTCTGATTTAAGCTTAGCTAAAAAAGAAAATGAGAAAGGTAATGAGATTTATTGTATATTATCATATGTTAGTCTTGAATTCTTACAAGAGAAACTATTCAAACAAGCTGCAGGGGTTTACGGATTAGGAGTTATTATGTGGGAATTAACAAGATCATATGATGGAAAACCGTTTGATTGTAATCTATTATTTGAAATATTTAAAGGATTGCATCTTGGATTTACACCAAGAACTCCTAAATGCTATATAGAATTGGTCAAACAATGCATGAATTCTGATTCTAATAAATGACCTACTGTAGAAGGTATTTATGATAAAATTAATACTTGGATAAATTCAAATGAAATTAAACAACAATTTGAGAAATTTGAAAATCAGTTGTTAAAGACAATTCAACTTAAGTATAATATTAAATAGACTCTATTTTATAGATTATTTGATGTTAAAATTATTGGAGAAGACAGATTAAGTACTGTGTATAGAGCAAAATAGTTGGATAAACCAGATTATATTAAAAGATAAATAATGATTATATATGCATGAATCATCTAGTATTGTTGCTCTTAAGATTATAACTCTAAAAGAATTTAAAAACTATATAAAATGCTATAAGAGATATATGCTAGATGTATATATAATCACTCTGAAACCTGAATTAGGCAAATATATAATAGTATTTTAATATGCTAAAAATGGATGTCTTTATAAATACTTAAGAAAAATATTCAAGATTTAGGATGGCAAAGAAAATTAGTAACATTTTAATTAACTTAGAACAAATTCATAAAGTGAAATTAATTTATTCAGATTTTTATAGCAGAAACATTTTACAAGATGATGATATTTTCTGTTACTCAGAATCATTTTATATTACTGATTTAGGATTAGTTAGAAAAGAAAATGAGGTAACTGGTGAAATTTATAATGTATTACCATATGTTAGTTTTGAAGTTTTATAAGACAAACTATTCACACAAGCTGCAGATATTTATAGATTAGATGTTATTATGTGGGAATTTTTACTAGACAAAACCTTTTGATAGTTATGAGTAGATTTGAAATCAGATTAAAAATCCCGGTTTATTTGGGATTAATCCGAATCCTATCTGAATCCTATCTGAATCTGAAATTCGGATTGATCCGAGGCCAATCTAATAGTTGATCTGAAATTTGTCACATATATTGTGATACAATAAGTAATAAATTCAAATTTGTCATATGACAAATTTGAACCTATCATGCATATTGTAACACAAAATGTGATAAATTCAAATTTGTTCTGACTAATTCGCATTTATCACATTTTGTGATTATATAAAAAAATGATCCTAAAATTGGGCCTACTCAATCTAGCCCAATCTGAATTTACTAGGCCAAAATTGGTTTGACGGTTGAAATTAGATAAAAATCTAAATCTGATCTGATCTAACTTTTTCAACCACTAGTTATGAGTTTGATTATGAACTTGCATTAAAGATTTGCTTTGGACTACATTTTAAATTTGTAGCAAAAACCTCTAAATGTTATATAAAATTGGCTAAACGATGTATAAACTCTGATCCTGATAATCAATCTATAGCAAAAGATGTTTATAATAAAATTAATAATTGACTTCAATTATTATATAAGTGAGATAATAAAATTTATTAAGAATTTGTAAAAGCTAACAAGAACAAACCAAAACATGTTGAATTGAAACATTCTAATCACATATATACAAGTAAAACAATCAATATACAGAAGATCAAACAATTATCAAAACAATTAAAAAATATGACAAAGTAATTCGATTAATTTTGTAGAACTAGAACAGTTAAAAGCCAACCAAGTAAACATAAACAAATAAATTCTGCAGAAACCAAATGGGCAAAAAAATATATAATTGTGCTAACTAAGTAAACAAATTGATCTTATTGAAATTCTAGATGATTAATATTAAAAAAATTATAAAAAGTGTTTGTAAATCAATTATAAAATTATGAAATTTAAAGAGTAGTTCACAGCTAAAGGGTAAAAATTTTATAGTAAAAATTGGCAGAATCACTTATAGAATTTTAATAGTAGTAGAATGGCCAAAAATTTCACAAAGAGTACTATGCAAACTTCTTTTTTATTTAGTAAGTATCTCTTTGACTACTAATTAAAGTTGTAGAGGAAGTTTGTGCAGTTCTAATAGTAGTAAGAACACTAAATTTGGTCTGGTAAATCATGAGATATCAATGATTTATGTTTTGTGATCATATGAAATTTCTTTGCAGATTTGCAAAAAAAATTTCATATGATTGCAAAATGTAAATTATTAATATTACATGATTCACCAAACCAAATTTAGTGATCTTACTACTATTAAACTGCATAAACTTTTTTTACAACTTTAATTAGTAGTCAAAGTAAAACTTATTAGTAAAAAAAGAAGTTTACATAATACTCTTTGTGAAAATTTTTGGCCATTTCTACTACTATTAAAACTCTATATATAATGCCCACCAATTTTTACTATGATGTTTATATGATGCTTATACTCTTTAATAGTAAATCATCTCTTAAATCTTTATAAAATTGAAAAAAGTGTATGATAGAAAATTTTGAATTTTTTAATTTTATCTAACTATGATAAACTTCTAAAAAGGCAAAATTGATTTAATAATTCGTTTAGGTGAGTTTAAACTGATATAATAGCTGTAATAATTGTAATAGTTGTAAAAGTGAAATGATATGTTAATAAAACTAACCTACAGCAAAAAACAACATAATGAAAAAAAAACAGCATCGATGATAGTAATAGTGATACTATTTTTTTTTCACTTAGGCAAAGTCGTGCCAGTGAATCCTGTTTATTAAAGCCCATCTTGTGAAAGATGTAATATAATAAAACTTTGATCCTGACATCCTGCGGTTACCTCGCATAACCTAACTGATTACTTATATGTAGCTACAAGTTACCTGCTGCACCACAGAGGTACGATCAATTAAGATAATACCCTAGATGGAAGGCTCATCTAACCACTGCTTTACAATAGGATATTGCCAATCTGATGACATCTTCTCGTAGAGAAGTGAAAGAAAAAGAGTAAACTATTTTATAAAAAAATACCAAAATATAAGGGGATGCGATAAAAGATACAAACAAGAAAATAAAGAGTAAAGGAAACATGAAAAAAGAAAAATATGGGATATATCACACCAGGCAGTTACAATTATAAGCCTGTGTTGGGCTTTATAAAAATTATATACTATACTATCTAAACTAGTTTCTACTCTAATCTATATAATTAGTATATCTAAGCAAAAAAATCATAGGAAGCAAAAAAATCAGCTTCTTTGACATTGTCATCGTAGAGAAGTCAGAAATCCATACTATTAGTCTTGAAGTATTGTTTGTTTGAATTGCTACTTTTGAGGCATGTAATCTACATGTTTATGTTCCATGCATATCCACGTGTTTGTTGTGACAGGAAAAAGTAAACAATGCTGACCGATTTAGTAAGTAAACAATATATTGATCTTTTAGAGGAATAAGCTAAATCACACACTCTTTTACAAAATTTTCCTTGAAAAAAAGTGAAGTCAACAAGAATATGTGAGGTTCTTCTATAAGTTTTACAGTTGTATAGGCAATTCTTCAAGCTTCAACTATCTTAGTGAGAGTCTTTTGACTACTATTTGTTCCCAGAATAGCCCTTCTAATTTGGATGCCAAATAACTTAGAGTCCGTTTGATATAGTAAAAACTTGACTTCAAGAAAAACTGTCCAAGTTATTCATTGACAACAACTTACACTTAAGTAATATCAGTTCCCAGAAAACCCTTCTGGTTTGGATGCCGAATAACTTAGAGACTCCACCCCTAAGCAGAAGAAGGGTTGATACCAAGAAAAACCACTCCTCGGTATTTTATGTTTTCAAGCATTGTTGACAACAGTATTACTATAAGGTAAGACTAAGAAGTATCTTTTTTAGACGTTTCTATATCATTTTCTGTAGTTAGGTTTGCTGTTGTTGTTGACCAAAGAATCGTCAGAAAGAGTTTTGCTGCAAAAGTTGTAATAGTGATACTATATCAACAGCTAATTATGAATAATATAATAATAATAATAGTTTTAGAAAGGATATAATAGTTTTTTTTTTAAGTTTTATAACTAGCCTCTTTGGAACTAAAGTTTTTATTCAAGTTTATAGATGGGGAGCTTGCTTATAGAATCTCATACATTTATACAAATGCAACCCAGCTTGTTCACCAGTACCTCTCCACTACAATTTTCAGTCGTAAGAAGTCTCGGATGCTTTCTCTATATCCTTAGGACATATTTATCCTCAAGGCATTATTAGCTAGAGCTTTCCTTACCTACAATCCGGCTAACCTAGTCTTTGGTAACTTACGCCAAGTCCGAGGATAAGTACTTGTAAACCAAAGCCACTACTATTACCTACTTCTGCCCTTGCAGAGTTCACCCAAATTCCAGCATATACTTTACAGACTATCACTGGTACCTAAGTTCCATCAGTAACCTAAACTCCCAATTCAGATAGTCTGGAGAGGCTGTGATCTGCCCCTGGTCTCCACGGTTGTATTCTTTTTCTCTGATTACTCGTCTGGCGGACTGGTTGGTATAGTGTCTTGCCAAACACCAGTCCTCATCCAGATCACTGAAATCGGTGTCCAGATCTCTTAGATAGCCTTTTATGTAATACTGTTAAAGATCTGTGCTACTTCTCAACTCGGGACTTGCCAAGTGAGCTTTCGTGAGCCTCAATATCTAGATTTACACAGCCATTTCACTTGAATTT